AAAAAAAAAAAAAAAATTTTTTTAAATATTCACCAAATTTGGCAGAATTGGGAGATAGCTCTTAATGCTCAAAAATGTATATTTAAATATACACTTAAATGAAGGCATGATTCACAGTCCCTCTCCTACCCTCAAAATGATTTCAGAAGAAAGTATGATATCCAAAATATACTGTTTAAGAAAAATAGATTGAAATTGTGTGAAAGAAAACCTCAGGCAAGAAAAGAGTTGCCTTCTATCCTGGCATCACCACCCAGATACAGAATATAGACCATTCAGTATATAGATATAGACCATTATTTTAACCCAGAATAGTATTTATTTCATTTGATTGGTTAGTTTTCAAAGACCATTCTGTTGAATCCAAGTGCCATACTTACGTATAGGGACCACACTGGTATATTTTGTCTGGCAGAATGAGCCATATGATATTTCACCTAGATGTTTCCAGAATCTAAACCAGATGCTTATAATAGGCTCAGATACTAACAAAGGGAACTATATTTATCCATCCAAATCAATATTCAGAAAATGTTCCAGGGGAAAAAACCACCCACTCATCTTTCTTGTAGAGTTAATGTTAAAAGCTGTATTTGCTGGGATTATTAATGTGTTGATTTAAAAAAGTGAGGTAAATCGATCTATGGATAAACCTTGAGAACTTACCTCAAGTTTGGAAGCGATGAATAATGAGGTAATTCCAATGAGTTGAAGCATATTTTTATTTATATCCTTTTGTGTCAACATAAATCTATCAAAAAAGTCTTGCGCAAGGTAAAATGTTTCTCTATGAAGTGTGTATACTTCACATACCTAGAGAAGAATCCAAACATTTAAATATTCTATGCATTTCTCCAGATTAGAAAGTTCTCTCCTAAAATACCAGTCTTTAGAATACTTTTAAGACCAACTTTGCTTTTTAGGATACCAAAGCTAAGATTGGGTGGGTGGGGGGGGCAGATATTAACATGTACTAGGATATAGGATAAAAGAGTCTATTACCATCCTCATTTATGCTTTCTAGTTTTTATTTATTTTTAAAGCTTTTAGTTATTTATATGTCAGAGAGCACGCACAGGCAGAGGGAGCAGCAAGCTCCCTGCTGAGCAGAGAGCCCGACGTGGGACTCATCCCAGGACCCTGGGATCATGACCTGAGCTGAAGGCAGATGCTTAACCGACTGAGCCACCCAGTCGTCCCTACTCTTTTTTTTCACATGGACTTAATTTATTCCCAGATACATTTATACTACGAGTGAGAACTTTTTTCCATTAATTTCCTAATTGTTTATTGCTGGTAAATGGTTAAGTTTTCATGCTTAGTTTATATTTTTAATTCTAATAGCTCCAAATGATTCTCTTCACTGTTCTAGGTGGACATTTAACTACAAAATGGTAATGTTCCTTTCAATGTTTAACTTCATTTTTTTTTTCATGTTTTACTGCATTGGCTGAGAATTTTTATAGAAGAAAACTGAATGAACAACATTGGTGATAAGATAGTCTTGATCTCATCCCTTGTTTCTGACTGTAATGGGAATGTCCCTAAGTTTTACTATTAATAATAAACAGTATCTGTCATTCCATACTTATTACAGGGAAAGCTTTAAATTCTGAACTCTAGGAGGTAGCAACTTAATCCCCACTTTGAGGATGAGGAAAACAGAGATGGAAATACATGAGTTTCTAATAAACAGTGTGTTAAGGAAATCTTAGTTTCCTACATATTTTGAAATGAATGGAAACTGAATTTCAAAAAATGTCTTTCACATCTATTGAGACTTTGATATTTCTCCTTTAAACTGTTAAGGTAATGTTGAACCATCTTTGCATTCCTAGACTAAAAGAATATACTAAGAAAAACTAGAGTTTAACACTGCTGGATTTATTATATTCTATACAGTTTTGCATATAATCGTATTTAAGGGAAAATAGCAATAAATTTGATGGACAACTACTGGAGAAAAAGTCAGTGTAACATAAAAAGGAAAAAAATTCTACATAATTGTGTTTATTAGGTTGCTTCCATGATCACTAGGCACTCCAGAAGTTACCTTCTTGTACCCACATGATTGAAATATCTTCCCTTCTAGTCAGAATAAGAAATGATAACCTTACTCAAAAGGACAGTGTTTTATAGTCTTAAAAACTTTTCGGATAGCTTCCGAGATCTACTCTGCCATGTATTATTCCACCAAAAAGCCTATAGTGTTTCTCCCTTAGAGAACATCATCCCTATCAAACACAGGGAAACTACAGAGCAAACATCCAAGGGCTGGAGGAAAATCAGTCTCATTTACACAAGTAATCATTATCCCAATAATTTTAGAGACTCTTGGAATTATTATCCGGAAAAAAGGAATGGGCCTAAACAAGAGAACATTCTGGCATAGATCTTTAGAGACTTGGAGATCACGGTTACTCCCTTAGATTAATGGTACAGTGTATTTCGAAAAGGAATAAAGGTATGTAATAAAGGGAAACTACATGAAGCCTAGGGGGCTTAGCACCTCTGGATATTCAAAGCCTCCTTATCATTTAGGACCTAGAATTTTTTTCTCAGGATTCTAAATCATAATTTGATTTTGATGATGCAGAAAAGGACTTCTGAGGGCCCTGAAGCCTAGTCCTGGTTCTTCACTTGGCATAGCAGAATTCAAAACCTTGTCAATTATATATACTGTTCATCTTGATCATCCTCAGTACCCAGTGCCTGGTACACAGTAATACCCACAGATACCGGAATTCTGAATTAGGTTTGGATTGTATGGGATGCAGTGGCTGTGTTATTCTCACAAAGCAGACATTTTCCATTTTGGTACCATCAACTGCAGTATGTACCCCCAAAAAGATGGCTGCTGGAAATGAATAATATACCAAGGGCACATGGAAAGCACATGTACATCTAAATACTCTTCCATTATACAGAGACAAAGGAAATTTGTATTGATGAAACATACCTCTAAAAGCCAGTCTAAAAGTATTGACCTCATCTGTGGTTCCAAGTCAGAATGCAGAACTTCAAAATGTTTGTCATGAACATATCTGGTCTCTTTTTTTAGCATGTTTAGCCAAACATCCTTTGAACATCCCCAACTATAGAAAGGAGGAGAAAAGAGTATGTGACCTACATAATATTCAAGCTGTTTTACAAAGAATAAACTTCAGGCATTGAAATACAATTAGAACTTGGAAGGAGAAGCTCTTTAAGTTAGGAAAAAATTGCTACTTTAACTTTTAGAAACCATTTCTTTAGCATAAAAAAGCAGAAGCCTGAAATTGTACAGCAAGAACTTAGATTATGGCTTTCAGTAGTGCTTTCCCCATTTATAAAAGCCTCCCATTTAAGAGAACAATATTTTCTCAGGAGCAACACTGAGAATTTAAATATTTAAGCATATAATCCCAGTACAGACAAGTTCCAGTCATCTCCAGATAGATCAATAATAGACTCACCTAAAGTGGTGGTAGCTGGGACAGAGTATAGTGAAGGGGAGGGATGGTGAGTTTAAGTGTTTGCCCATTTATGTGTGTATTAGAGCCAAATACACTACACTACATGTTTTGTATAAGCTGTACCTCTTAGTCATATTAACTAGAAAAAAGAATTGAGTATAGATCTTCCTAAGCTTGGTAAGAAATAGGGTTGATCTATCAAATGAAAATGTTCATGTTACAGTGCTTCCGTCTTAACAATTTAGAAAAGTTATTTAAACCTCATTTAAAAAGCCTCTAATGAGGCTTACAGTATTCCGCAAGTAAATGAAAATTACTTCATAAAAAATCCATTTTAAATACCCATATATCCTTTGCAAACATCACCATTCTCAATACATGCATAAATATTAGTAAAGAAAGCAATTTTTGGATGTTTTTCTACATTATAATGAAGGTAAAATAGGACTCAAAATAGTGTAATAAGTTAGTACAATTTTAATCTTTGATACCAAATTACAAAAAATTTTCTTACCTTAAATCAGGCAAAGGTGAAGGATTAATAAAAAGATTTTTAAATCTGTAATTTGTAAATCTGGAGAAGTCACTTGTTCCTATTTCTTTGTGGGGTGTTTCAATGATAATACAAGGACTGATCCCCCCAGATAACACAGGTGGCCAACAATTCTGTTATTTAAAACAAAAATTTGTGCAAAAGAAAATCAGCTTTTGTCTTGGATCTTTCATAAATGGAAGCTAGTATCTTTAAACAGTCTATAGTTTTCCCCAAACACCATCGTTAACCACTGCCGACAATCTAGTTGACATTCATATTTTAGAAATAAGACATATAGTTCATAGCGATCTTTAAATATAACAGGTGGGATGTTTTAGAGAACAAAATACAATTCTGGAAATACATTAGGTATTGGGGGAAGGGAGTAATAACAAAATGCATCTGTAGTCAAACACTAATCACTTTCAAGATTATAAAACTGAAATTCTCCCTGTTTACAATAGTGTCAAGGGCACCTTGTTTTATAAAAAGCTCCCCCCCACCCCAGTGAAGCCTGCTTCCATACTTCAGAATACTATAAGGCAAAACCTTAAAAATGGAATCAACTGAAGTCAATTACTTAAATATTTTTTAAAGGACCCTTTCCCCAACCAATGTTTCAAAGAGAACCATTGTCTCTAGTATTCTCTGTACCACACATAGGGAGAATAGGTAGCAAAGGGCTGGGTGCCAGTCTGTCAGTGACTTCACATCCTATTTATGCCCCAAGGAACAGCTATTAGGACCCTCCACTATAGTCAGAGAGGGAACAAAGAGCAGTACATCGGACAGATTAGGCGGGCCCTGGTGCACCAGGCGACTCCAAGAGGGAGGGATTTACAAAGAGGAACCAGCTGCTTCAAATTCTGCAGCTGTAGTAGGATTCGGGCACATAAAAACCACCCAAAGATATGCACCTTCCTGCTGACCTCTAGGGGCATTCAAAGTAAAAGTGTCAGAGGTATCTTTCTATTGCATAGTAATAACACAATTCTATTATTTGTCCTGCATTCGTTTCCCCAAAGCCCACCCAGCCCAGTTCTGCATTACCCTAATCTCATACTGATGTTTCTTGGTGACCTCCTCTTTCCTTTTTTTGACATCCTAGAAAATAAAAAAGACCATTGTTAAACTGAAGTCCCAGCAAAGAATTTCTTCTGTCTCCTCTCTCTCTTCCCTTAACTCACCTGAGCTGTTTTTCTCTTCTTGGCCTGAATTATCTGGGTTTCTTGGGGGGAATCCGTCTGGCTGGGCTGGGGCTGTTGCTTGGCTTGTAAACGGCTACTACGGTGAAATTTTTTAAAGAAAGTTTAGTAAGTCATGAGTTTCAAGCACAGTAGCTAACTTTTAAACATATCTACAAGACAAATAATGTTACCTGCGTCTTGACATTCTCTTCTTCCAGGTGTGTGAAATCTCTGGAGGGGAGAGAGGAAAAACGAGAGTCAAATATATTGTCACCCCAATTCTCCCAAGTGCTAATCAGACGCTCTTGCAGGGGTTACGGCTCAGTCCCTCAGGAGATGGCCTGGGCCATTTACCATGCTGTCTTATGCACAATGGTTGTCTTACGGTATTAATTTTGGACCCATGCCTGCGTCTCCTCAACTGAATGTACAGCCGGGACGCGAGGGTCTTCAAGAATTTACAAAGCACCCCCAGCAACGAGGCAGCTCTCCCCCAAATGGGTCTTTTCTGCACCCTCCATCCTCCCTCCCGGAACCCCGAGGGAGGCTTGGGCAGCGCCCCCACGGCCCCCCTTCCATCCTGGACGAGCCGCGGAGAGAGAGGGGGTTGTGGAAGCGAAACGCTGTGGAGAAGCCGGTTCCGCGCCAATTTGGAGAGCGGCGGTGGCGGGGAAGCAGGGGGCGGAGGGAATGGAGACTTGTGTCACGTCCTTCAGTCTCCTTTCCCTCCTTCCCAGCCCCCCGGCCCTGCCTGTCGCTTGAAGGGGCACCGGGACCCCGACTCCAGATGGGGGGTGGGAGTGAAAGGAAAGGGAGTTAAAGAAAGGGGGAACTGGGTTGGTCAGGGAGCTCTTCTCCCCGTGAAGAGAACCCAGACCCCTATCCTCTCTCCCGCAGGAGAGCTCCCCTAACGAGGGTGGGAGAGAAAACCCCTAGAATGAGGGCATTTTCCGTGGCCTCCCCCTTCGGGGCAGCCCTCCACCCGCGCCGCTTCCCCGGCCCCCTGCCAAAGATCCTGACAGGGACGCAAAGCGGGGAGCCATCCCCCCCAGCCGCCTGTTTCTCAGCCTTCCCATTTTTCCTCTCTTAGGCTCCCGCCCGCGGGAAGAATCGGCCCCGGGGGCTTTCTTTCCTCCCGCACTCCGCCCTACGCCCAGCACCTCCTCACCGCTAGACCCGCTACCGCTCCGCTCTCAGCTGGCGCCGGCGCCAACCCAATATATAGGCCGGGCCAGGCCCGCCCCGCACGCATGCGCCGCAGACTGACACCTCCAGACTGCGCGCTCCCCTCTCCCGCGCGCCCGCCCGGCAGGCCCGCGCGCCGCGCCCTGCTCAGTCCGCGCCCGCCCACCCCGAGGGCCCGGGGTCCGCTCGTCCAGGCCCTCAGTCCGCGTTCACCTGTTCTCCACTTCACCTGCCTGCGCGGCCCGGAGGCGGGAGGGAGTCTCTCAGAGGCTCCTCCTCCGAGGTCTGGCTCCCCGCCGCTCTGCTTCCGCATCTCCCCCCAGTGCTTTCCAGTTCCCTCCCGCCCTCAACTCCCGGATCCCGTCCGTGTCAGACCGCGCCTCAGTCCCGGCCTACGGCCAGGTGGAGGCGGCACGGGCGAGGATAGAGTAGTCGGGAACTGGCCATCCTGCGGCGCACCGTGGCTGTCCCGCTAAGGCCTCAAGGAACCCGGTTCCTTCGGAAAAGACGCCGGGACCAGCAGGGCCCGCCCCCGCAGGAGGAGCGCCGCTTTGGCTGGCGAGCTGGCCAATGGGAGGCGAGGACGGCAGCACAACGTGGAGCTGTTGCAGAATGTAAACAGAGCCCGGCGCGCCGCGGGCCACGTGTGTCCCCGCGCGCCACCCGTCGGGTCTGCGACCACCGGGGCCGGCCGTGGCACCTCAGGGCAGCCATTCTCTGGGATGCCTGTCTTGCACTTTGCTCCAGCCCGCTGACGGAGGTTCGTGTCAACCTTCTTTTCCCGCTCCCCGCTCCGCCGACCGGGTTACCTCCCATGGGGGGGTCTCTCCGCACCCCGCCGCCTTTCCCCTGCCCGGGGGCTTCCCACTCCGAAGTCCCCGCGCGCAGAAAACGCTCGCGCCAGGCCGCACCCTCCCTTCCTGTCCTCCGGACGGGCAGTTCCGGGGCCCCCCAGGAGTAAAACGTCTCTCAAGAGCGGGGCGGGGGGCAGCATTCGGCCTTCCCCTGAGAGCGGCGGCCCTCCCGGGTCGGGCCGGGAGAACTGCCCCCACCACGTGCAGGCCCCGGGCCGGCC